CAGAAACATCGGAAACGGCCAGAAACATCGGAAACGGCCAGAAACATTGCTCACATAAGTCCTAGCCAGCATGCTTTGCAACGTTCACACTGTGTCTGGGACGTGACTCTCGCACATTTCACACAGATTTAATACATTGATGATGATGCACCTCAACTTTTTAGTTAGTTTATAAAAGTAGTTAACCACAAAGAAGATTGTTAAAGTGAGTTAATTCATTGCAGTAAATGACACAAGGGAGACGTCCCACACACATTGAATGCATCACTCTGCTTAGCAGTTTAGCGTTAGCATAGCTAACTTTTTGATTAGCTGTGCCCACCTCTGGATCTGGATGACTCATTCTTTGTAACTCATTTGTTTGATCAACTCTTTTTTTTTTTATTTTATGAACTTTTCTCTCTGTAATAAATAAAAATGGAGCTTGTTTCAGACGACCTTGAAGGTTTTTATCTCTTTCAGATGATTCGGAGCAGAAAAACTCGTTAGTTTTAGTTAAAAAAAAAATTTTTTGGGTTGTTTTTTTGTACATGGATTTTTGAAATCAAACATCAAAATCTAGTTTTATATTTTTTGTTTGTTTATTTTTCCCCTCGTAGTTCCTAATATTTCCACTTGCTTTACATGTAATGTAAGGAATGGAGACTTTAAAATGTTTGGTTTAGTCGTGTCCGGTTGGACTGAAAGAAAAGTTAATCACGAGAGAGAGTCAAGCGGTCGAGGCGGGGGCAGAAATCTTTTTAGAGGCTGGACACTTGAACCTGAAATGGTTTTTTGTGGTGACTTTTGTTGTTAAATGACATAAAATAAAGCTGTTACAAACCTTTTTCTGAGCTCCAGCCCAAAAAAAATGGAGATTTTTGACAGTTTGACTAAGAAAGCGAATGTGTTTTCTACACAGTCCGATGTTTCACACCAAATCTGTTCATGTTGGTGTCCCTGTGACAAAATGACCTTCTTGTGCTTAAAGTTCTGTTTGAAGACATGAAATAAAACAATTAAAAACACTTTGATGTGACGCGTCCTGACCCTGAAACCTGCTTTGTCTTCATGAAGGCCACAGCCATCAGCTCTTCCACATCTGCGCCGTGGTGGGAACCCACTTCCAGATGGAGGGGGTCATCGCCGACATGACGTCACGGAGGGCGTGGCTCCAGTCTCACGAGGTGATGCCGTCCTTCCTCGGGACCATCGGGGCGCTCGTGATCAGCCTCGTCCTCAACCTGGGCGTCATCGCCATCTTCAGCACGCCGCTGCTATGGAAACCTAGCTCCGCCTCCATCCAGCCGCACGCCGCAGCCTGCGAGGGCAAGGAGCAGTAAGGGACCCCCCCCCCCCTCCAAAATAAAAACTGATTCCCTTTCTTGAAGAAAGGGTTAGCGGTTCGTCAGCTCCCAGTAGCGCTGCTTTAAGTTTTCTGTTTGTTTGTTTTTTTGTGCTCAGAAGCTGAAGACCCGCTCACATTTATTGAATCTGTGCACGAGGGCCCGAAACAAACGGTTTGTTTCGTGGTGCTTTCTGGAAGGCTGTGGGTTGAAGGAAGCTTCTGACACAACACGCCACACTTACCGTTGACCTCCACGTCTGTTAAAATGTGCAGAAAGCCGCTCCGAGTTCTGACGTTTTATTAGAAACGTGCAGCAGCACAGACGACCGCTCCACCTCCACTAACGCAGATTGGATCACCGGCTCTTAAACGTCCAGCCGTTCCACTCGGAGCAGACGGGAATTGATTTTCAGAGCCGTGCGGCTCATTTTGACTTTATTTATTTTATTTTTCTGATTGCCTGCCTCATTACGAGCCACACAATCCGCCCCCAACAGGGGAGGAGAAGAAAGTGTTGGTGAGGCGGTGATTAAAAGACAGGTAGCACTTTTATAACCCTGTTCCCATGGCAACGCTCCTGCCCCCAAAAGGTCTTCCACAGTCTGCGTCGGGAGCGGTTTGCTTCGGTCCGTCATCGTAAAAACTGTTCTGGGTTCCACAAACCCCAACAAGAAAACGCAAACCAGCGCTTCGAATTGGACTTTGTTTAAATTCAGACGTTTCCTCTGAAGTTTAAAACACTTTAAATTTATTTTCTTGATGGGGTTTCAAGAAACATGGAACAAATGAGAATTTAATCATAATTTGGGGTTTTATTAACATTTATGGTGTTTTAAGGTGTAAATGTGTCTGGTCCCGTGCGACTCCTGTTTACATTAACCACTAAATAACTCTTATATTTATACAGTTCTATATTTATTGCTTATTTTAGGTGCATAAACAGAATAAGAGTTTTATTGTTGTGAGGGGATCTTCAGATTTTATGTTTACAGAGTCCTAAACGTGCCTTAAAACAAGCAGAAACTGTTGTTTTTGAGCAAATAAATAAAACACTTATATTTAAAGTCGTGTTTTATTTGGAATAAACGTGAGCGTCCGTGGAGTATTTGTAATAAAAGTGGTCGATTTCCATAAATTCTTTCTAAAATAATAATTTCTTGCATCGTGTTTCAGAAGAAACTTGCAACACTTACAGATAAGGGTGCCTTAAAACAAGTGGAAAATGTCGACAGTGTCGTATTTAAATTTTATCTTATTTTTAAACTTTTATTTGAGAGAAGTGAGACGTCGTAGAACATTTGAAAAAGTTTTGGTCCTTGAAGAAAGTTTTATTTGATCTTGATTGGGCTCTAAAACAAGCGGATGATGTCAATAATTACAAACAGGTTCATGTTTAATTTAAACTTGTTTTTAATTTTCAATTTATTTGGGGAAAAAATAGATTCATATAATTATTCCAGCAAAAAAAATCTAAACAATTCCTGCCCCTCCCCCCCCACCCTGCGGTCTCAAATAAAAACGTGTCCACCATGAAACCCTAGATAACTTAAAAATCAAAGCATAGTTAATATTCAAATGCCTATTTGTAGTATGTGTAAACATTTATAATAATGCAATTAAAGATGGTTTTTTTTGTGCTTTTCCACTTGTTTTGGGCTCAACCTAAAAATAATGAGACTAAAATAAGTTTCAGACGCTGCTGAGCTCAGAACGCTCAGACTCAGCAGAAAGGACGAGTGTCTCATCAACGCAGAGCAGCTGCAGCCTTAAAATCTGCACCGAGCATTTAATCGTGCACTTGAGCCCACCGGCTCTTTGTGCGCCTGAGCAGCAGGAAGCACACGGCTAACGCGCTGCGTCCGTCTGTAGGTCGATCTAAGGGGAAGCGTATGTGATGTAAAGGACGTGAGGTGGTTCCAGGTCCGTGTCGGGCGCTGGAGGGAGGATGAACGTGTAGAAACACGTTTAGTGTCAGAGCACTTTAATGTTGCCTTCAGGGTTCACGTTGGGGAATAAAAGTGGCATCATCCACACAAAGGAGCAGCTTTTGCCCTCGGTGGGCTCAGAGCTGCCCTCCTGCCGAGCGCGCATCGATCCGGAGCGTCTCTGCGGTTATCACATCACAGCGTTCCTCACGCGGACCCTGTTGATTCCTGGCAGCGCCGCTTTCTGTTCAGCTTCTGCTAAAACCCGTCTCGTCCCAAACGACGGCATCATCTGGACCAAAATCTCACGATTTGACCGAATCACTGTTAACTGTCGAACGCTGTTTGTGCAGAGTTAGTTCTTGATTCGACGTCACTCATTTGTAAAGTTTTTTGTTTTTTTAAAGGTACGTGTTGAAGGGTGTTTGAAAAACGTGCGACAGAAAGTAAATACGATGAGGCGGAGGAAAAGAGCTGGTTAAAAACATAAAGAGGCGCTTTTTTAAAATGTTTTACAAAACCGTTGTTTTGTTAAAATGCTCTGTTTTTAAAAAGTAATCTTGAACCGTGTAAATACATTTTGTTGTGCATAATTTGTATTTTGCTACTTTGTTCTAATAGACCGGTGTAATAAATGAAAGCTTTTGTCAAATGTTCTTCGTGGAACTGGAATTATTTCACATTCCTGATTCATGATGTGCAGAAACAACAAGCGTCATAAATACCTGCAGCTGAATATTCATTTCCTGTTGAACAAACTAGTTTGGAGAACGTGAGGTTTGACAGTGATGCATCCAGGTGATCAAACACCAAATATTTGTCAAATGAACAAAAATTTTATATTAATAATTTTGCTGTTTTAAAAAAAAACAACTAAAATTTGGGTTATTTGACAAAACGCTTAATTTTGCAGCTTTTTGCTGCAGAACCTGAGTGGTGCCTTCAGTGACCAGCAGAGGGCAGTGCAGCACAACATGGGCCTTTAAAAGCTGCAGCTCTTCAGCTCATGAGCTTTCACTTGTCAAGAAATGAGCTTCAGGAAGTTTGAACAGTGGAAGAGGTCATCTGCAGGAACACCTAAATATGTGGTGCTCCGTTAGTTTATTTCCCACAAATGACGAGACACAGAACTGTTTATTTTTTTGAGGGGGAGTGGGTGTTGAATGGCCTTGAATTGAAGGCAGATATTCAGGCTGAAAACATGAGGAAATAAAAAAAAAAAAGGAAGCAAATTGCAGAAATGTAATTAGAAGCGAAGCAGAACTTGCAGCAGTGTTGAAGCGGTGCAGTTCTGTGTGACTCGCTCTGATTCATTAGGTTTCTTTCTTCTCCCGCTGTGAAGCCGCACACGGCGGCCTGTGAAGCGCAGAGTGGTTTATTATTAGCAGTAGACACAGGCCACAATGAATCGGCTCTGCCATCACCACAAAAGAAATAATTATCAGGAGAAATCAATATCCTGTGTGCGTACATTATAAGATGAGGTGGAGGACTGAAAAGGAAAGTTTCCTGCTGCACAGCTTTAATAGGACTTCCATTAAAAAAATGGCCTCATTTCCAGCTCTTATTATCCTCGTTTTCCTCGTGGAAGCAGGGCGGAGCTCGAGAGCTTATTAACACGGCACCACAAAGGGTGCCGCGCGTTCGGATCCTATCTGGCCTCAATCTGCTTGTAAGACCCTAGAAGAAACAATGAGCCAGACACGAGGCCTCCCAAGTGTTTGTCTCCTCACCCCCTGTACACCAAGGAGGGGGGGGGGGACAGGGATGATAGCATTACTTACAACCCCTTACCACTCCCTGGAGGCTCTCTGCACACAGAGTGATGGAGGGCGGGGCAGGACGGTGGCGATGTTTGCTGGAGGCCCGGCGGTAAGGCAATAACTTGATTATTCCTTTTCAACAAGCGTCTGCCGAGCAGCCCGTGGAGGCGCCGCATGTCGCCGAGCAGCCCGTCCAAACAGGCGGCTCTGGAACAATGATGGATCGACTGACTTTTTAATTTATTATCAAGTTTATTTTTAAAGGCAGACAGAATAGAAAGTGCTGGAGTAACAACACGTGAAGGGATATATTTGAACAATCATACAGAGTATGTACAGTCAGAGTCTACACAAGGCGTGGCCGTGGTTTGTACACCTGATCCGTCACCCTCTGAAGGCCCCGATCAGTCCCGAGGTTTTCTCTCCAGTTTCACTTTCAGAGCCATCTGTCCCCCCACCCCCCCGAGTCTCACTTCAACCCATCTGTTGCTTCTCCAGCCATCTCGGACTTTCACCTCCCAGCCTGCTCCCTTTTCAGATTTCACTGCAGTTTTTCTTCAGTCGCATGTTGAACATGGCTGATCTGGAATAAAGCTGCTTCTGAGCGATGTGCACGTCAAACCGCTGCTTTTTCTCTCAGTAATAAATGTAAACGCCGACGTTTATACACAGTCCCATCCCTCAAAAGTTGGACGTTGTGTAAAATGTAAATATAAAACCGAAAGCAATAATTTGCTAATCTCATAAATTTTACTCATATTGGATTATTGTAAACATATGAAATGTTGAAACTAAGGCGTTGAGACTTTTTTTTAAAAATAAAGAGTTGAGATGTTTCCTCTGAAGCATCCCCTCCTCTTTCACCAGCAGCAGCTGGACGTTTGCTCCTCTGTGAATAAAATCTGAGACTGATCAGTTACATTTTACACACCGTCCTGTTAGCACTTGTTCCTGCAACACACTTTCTGTTATTCTGTAACAAATTGTCCATTTTTTCTCGTTTTGAAAAATAACCATTTAACTTTGACTCGTGGAAAACAAGCTTTTATTGTGACGATCTTATTTACATTTACTAAAAGCCTTCCTTGTGAAAACTAGCCCAGATCAGTGGGTTTTGCAAACGGCTGCACCTCGCTCTGCAAGACGACGTTCAGCGGCTTGTCCTGCCGTGAATTATTAATCGGCACAACTCTCAGCTGCAAAGTGGACACGAGCCATCATCTGGAACTGGGTTCTCAGCTGTGTCACTCCATGCACGCCCCTCCACGCTGATCCCACCTCAGATAAACTTTTAACACTTTGGTAAACATTTGACCTTTGTTCCAGAGAGTCACGGGGCCGTAAACAGGACTCAAAGACGAGCTGGAAAGGGACAAATTAAGGCAAAAAGGCCACTTCAGACTGGTTGTTCTGTAAAGCTGACAAGTTAGCACACTGGGTGACAACTGTCTCCCAGTTCAGATACAAAAAAACAGATTTTAAATGAAAAAGGCAACTTGTTTATGAGCTGATTAAAATGGCCGGGCCTCCCGAGCATCTGGTCTGTCCTTCCTGGCACCGTCAGCCCAGGATATCCAGGTAGACCGGTGGGTTTTTGACCAGCTCCAGCAGGCGGTGGTGGATGTCCTTGATGACCATCCTCTGCTGGGGCTCCCTCTGCCAGCAGCCCTGCATCAGCAGGTACACCTCCTTGGGGCAGGTGCGTGGCCTCTCCAGCTCCCGGCCCTGCGTGATGCATTCAATGGCCTGTTTGGGTGAGAATGTCAAATGTTGATTTTGAATTTGGGGAGGAGCATAAAACATATAAGATTTTAAAAACAGACTGTAGGTCTTATTTGCTGTTAAAACACTGGGTCATCTAAGGATCATAGCTGAAAATCTGGATTTAAAATGATGTGTTGCTTCGTTGAACTGGGTAAATTCTGACACTGGGAGGGACTTATTGCCTCATTGAAGATTGCCTGCACAAAAAAATTGAAACCATTTACCAGTAGGATAATGGTTAAACAAAGCAAAGTGAATCCCACAGGTCTACATCAGAATCACAATCTTAAGGTAAATTTAAGGGCACTTCAAAGGGCATGTCTGATTAAGGAGACGACAGTTGTGACAGATGTGGTGACTGCTTCCCTTTGAGCATTTAAATGAATGTTAGGTGGAAACCATCTTGACCACCAAGTTTCTTGATGTTCGCAGTGTTTCTGTGAACACTGAAGAAGCTCACCTCCTGACCAGCTGCAGTTCAGCTCGGTTTAAAAACTCTAATGAGATAGAAAAGCCATTCTGTTACAATAAAAACGATCCGTTTCGTCCAAGGTCTCATAATGAATGAAATGAAGTCAATACAACCTCAGCTGAACGCCACAAAACATTTCATTAGTCGCTAAAATTAAGCCTCGAGGCAGGAATATTTGTGAAAAATGAATCTGTCCTTTCTACTTCTGCATGAATAAAGAGGGTAAGGATCAGCCAGGTGCTGCTGAGGAAACGTTAATTAACTGACAACCAGCAGTTCCTCTATAAAAGCCAAAGACGTGCTTACGCAACGACAAGAAGGAAAGATATCAGCAATGACCTCAGAGCAGCAACTGTTGCTGCTAATCAATCTAGGAAGGGTCAAAGGTCATTTCCAAACTATTTGGAGTCCAGTATTTAGCAGTGAGAAAGATTCATCACGAGTGGCAGCGGACAATCATGTGGACATACAGCAAGTTCACCCTGAAGGTCAGACTGTGCAACGCTCTGAGAAATGAGCTCCAGCTCAGATGCTGCAGGCCTAAAGGTTAAAGGTCATGTCAGGACAGTTAGAAACAGACTGAACAAGTTTGGCTTTTTAGAACAGGTTGCAGGAGAAAATCTCTTCTCTTGCAAAAAAACAACAACGTGGCGAAACGATTTGAGTTTGTAAAGTTTCGTCTGAATGACCCCGAAGACTTCTGGAACAAAACGTCACCAACGAGAAGATCAACCATAACGCACAGCGTCACTTCACAGCGGTTGTGAAGCATGGTGGTGGCGGGCTGATGGTTTGGGCTCTTTGCAGTCACTGAATGGAACGTGAACTCACGTAGTCCAGCAGCTGAAGTTTGGACCAAACTGAGTCCAGCAGAACCATGATCCCAAACACAGCAGCTGATCTTCACCAGAACAGAACCACGGCGCTGCAGAGGTCCAGTCAGTCAACCTGATTCAAATGCTGCGGTGGGAGGAGAGAGCTGTGTCCTCCATTCCTCGAGTCATTTGACTATTTTACCAAAACCAAGAGTTATTCTGCACGTTTGCTTCCAACGAGCCGGACTGTGTTCATAAATTAAAAAAAAAAAAAATGTCTGAAACACTCTCATGTTTCAACACAAAGTCAACACTCAACATGTCTCCTCAGATAGAAGAAGTCCTTTGGATGAAGGACGAAACATCTCAGCAAAAAAGTAAATCATCCAGATGACCCGACTGAACATTGTTGGATTATTGAGCATGAACTTTGGTGTTTATTTGTTTATTTAAGGATTTCTGCCGTAGTGGAGACTATTCTTCCTGGGGTCCACAATTAAAACATTGCAATTAAGTCAAGCTTTGACAAACATACAAAAAGACATAATAAAATACCTAAAATAAAAACAAATTCATAATATAACACAAAAATTCACCAATTCCAACGTTAACAAATAATCTTCATTTCCACTGTAAATTTATCAATTCAATTTTATTTCATTATCTATTATACATTTTTGTCTTAAACACTGTTTCTAAAAGTTTATCAGTAAATTAATTCTAATTCATTTAAAGAAGGAACAATTTGTACAGTGTATTGTTAAATATAGCACATAGTTCTCGACAACCTTTCTCCTCCTCTGCTTGTTTACAGGCCAGCTGTCACACCACGCTGCACACCTGGAACCACTTCCTCCTCATCAGTGGACTGCATAAAACTTCAGTGATCCAGTACCACACCCCTTTGTCCTCGGACATTTCCACTTGTCTCTGGGAATTGTTGTGGTGTGGTTGACTCTGAATTGAACATTTTGTACAAAGCATTTCAACAACTCTGAGAAGATCCTACTGGTTTTCTGTGAACTTTACTATTTAAGAACTTTTTCTTAGATGGGAAGCTTGGTAGGGGTTCTCCACCATTTTCAATTCAGTTTTTTTATACAGCGCCAAGTTACAACAGAAGTCATCTCAGGGCACTGAACAGAAATATTGATCTATAAAAATAATAATCTAACATTATTTATTTGAGGAGCAGACTGCTTTGAGTTTAACTCCCATTATAGAACTCTCATCTTGAGCAAACATGAAGGTGACAGTGGAAAGGAAAAACTCCCTCATGAGGAAGAAACCTTCAGCAGAACCAGACTCAGGACAAGCGTCCATCTGCTTCGACCGGCTGGGGTTGAGAGGAACAGATACACAATGGCAGGTCAAGAATCACATGTTAAGATAAAAATGGTATCAAATAAAAACTATTCAATTTGAGCCCATCCATCCATTATCTATTACCCGCTTTTTCGTTTTTGGGTCGCGGTGGTTGCCGGTGCCCATGTCCAGCAGTCACTTTGTGAGAGGCGGGGTACACCCTGGACAGGCCACAAGTCCATCCCAGGGACACATGGAGACAAACAACAATTCACTCTCTCATCTAGGGACAATTTAGAGTTGCCAATCAGCCTAAGATGCATGTTTTTGGTCTATAGGAGGAAACCGGAGTACCCGGAGAAAACCCATGCATGCACGGAGAGAAGATGCAAACTCTATCCAGCAGGGCCCCCGGACATTGATTTGAACCAGGGTAACCTGCTCGCTGAGAGGCAGGAGCTCTACCAGTCTACCTGATCAAAAATAACACCAACATTTTTTACATTAGAGCTGGAGGACAGATTAATGCCATCCAAGGAAGCGAAAGACTGAAAAATGTATTCCTAAGATGCTCCGGTCCAAAAACTTAAACCTCAGTTTTGTGGCGTGGCCAACGAACCAAACAGGTGAGATCTCGAAGCACACGTGTGTCAGAGCAGGGTCCGTGTCTGAATAAATCAGAATGCAGGCAGACGCAGGGTTTAAAAGTTCTTTTACGGCCATGAAAGGACAAACACCTCTCGGCTCCGAATCTTCTGCCCTTTTAATTCAGCTGCGAGTCCCCGACGACAGGTGTATCCCAAAGCAGACGTGTGTGTCAGAACTGCAACTCTAGCCTGTGGTTCCGGATTGCTAAGGGGCGGAAACTGATTTGAAATGTGATTTTTAAAGTGGAAGAAAAATCTGTTGAAACATAATTCGAAACGTGAACGGGTCGATGGTGAACCAGAGACTTGGTTTTAGCATTTAGCTTACCTTGGACCGTCATCCAGCTGGCCTGTGGTTTCTGACTGCTAACGTGAGCTAGCATTAGTGACTCTGCACAGCCTACGGGCACCTGGCTAGTTAATGGTTTTTACAAAAGCACAGAGTCGAGCTTCCAGATCAGACAGACGCTCCTCCAGAACCGAAACATTTGAAAGCAGAACATTTGAAACTTGTACCATCATCTTCAAACTAAGTGGTGTTAGAGGTGAATATCTGGCATACAATGCACGTGATGAAACCTGAAACCATGCTAAGCTAAGACTAGTAAGGTAAGATATAGCAGATGTCAATACACTGATAACAACTAGAAGTCCTGAAAGATAAAGACCACAGTGGAATAAGTTAAAGGTTACGGTGATCAAGCGATGTGGATCCGATGTAGGCAGTCTCTCAGCAATGATACGGTCTCAGCTTTGGGTGCGTTGAAGTCTGCAGCTCGCTAGCACTAACACAAAAGCCCAACACGATGTAGCACCATACTGGCTAAACAGAATTCAGCAAAAATCAACAAGGGACTGAAAAAAAAATAAAACACTGTTTAAAACAAGGGCGACTCGCCTAATTGGTGATTCTCATCTCGACTTTGTGTGACTTGAATCCACTTAGCACAGTTAGCACAACACTGTCGGATCTCATAACTCAAAAACTCACCTAAAATAAAGCATAAAACCAACAATCGACCAGCATACGAAACTAGTAAACCGTTTAAAGAACAAACAAACAAAAAAAAAAAACAGTTTATAATAAGTGCGAATCACATAAAGTGTTTAAAGTTGTTGAATTTTCTCCAAGTAGAGCAGAGCGTATTTATAAGCATCCTCTCCCGCAAAATTTCTCCTGTTTTATGGCCAACCAGGAAGCTTAGGAATTGTAGTTTTTGTTTTGTTAGGTAAGAGGTGATTTTGTTTTCTAGTCAGAAGGGGTGTTCTTTTGTTTGTTGTTTTGACCTAGGAGACCCTGACGTTTATGGCTTCCCTTCTGTCTGTAACACCCAAAACTATTAGAAGAGTAAATTACTGTAATGCCAAACCAGGCTGTTTTTGAGTTATTAGCTTCACGTTTAGTTTACATTTTGTGTTACACCCTGTGCCTCCTAGACTCGGTCCAAGGGTTGTAACATAAGTGGGGGCTCGTCCGGGATTTGCACCTGGGACCTCTCGCACCCCAAGTGAGAATCATACTCCTAGACAATAAAAGAGACAAAATAAAATAAATAATTTTCTCAAGTCTAATGTAAAAGTATCAAAGTTCATGCTCAGGTAAAAAAAATCCAACAAAGTTAATTAAGTCAGGTCATCTGGACGATTTCTTTGTGTTGAAACGTTTAGTCTTTCGTCAGTCCAAGGAGCCACAACAAACTCAGTCCCATAAGTAGCACACTCACATTGTGGACCAACCATTTTGATGGTGATAAGATGGTTTCCCGAGTCCGCCCTCGTCCCCGTCAAATTTAATAAAACTAATGCAAAGTACCTTATTTGTTATTTTGTGTTGCCTAAATGTCTCAAAAAGCCAAACTCTCCATTCACAAGCAATACTAAACCAAACTGGCTCCGTATTTTCATAGACTTTATAAAGTGGCGCGAGGAAGAACAATGTCCACAAGTCCTGCTCCAACAGTGGACATTTTGAAACAGCGCCAGTATTTACAGGTGTGTGTTCTGTGGCCATTAGCTGCAGCCCGTGGACCAAACTGTGAGCACGCTCCACTCCGGACACGAATGGCTGCAGCTCACAGCCTCACGCCGTTCAGTGAATAAATCACTGCTGAGGATCAGAGAGGACTTCTCTCTGAACGCTAACGGACTCGTATGTTCGCTGCTGTTAACCTTTGTCTGATTAAGCGAACAGAAGAGGCCCGTCATCAAAGCCACTTCACACCAGAATGACCCGTCGGGTCAGGCCCAGAGCTGAACACAGAGACTCGTAGCGACTGCTGCCGCCTCGTTGGTCATTTGAGATGATTTATCTCTGACGCTCAGTATTTAGGCAACATGATAATTTCACCTGCCCCTCGTTGGGCGAGACAGATTAGGATAACGAGGTTACACTTTATTGGCCCAGGGCAAAAAAGAAGCCAATGAGATTAGAATTGAGTGCAAAGGAAAAGTGATCCACTTTTCTGTTGAAAGAAGAGAGGCTTACGGCCTGTAATAGCTCCGCTGTGGTCACAGTGGAGACCAACTTCTTGGTGCTTAAGCTGAAAAGGCCAGACTGGACTGCCCTTAATTACTATGAATTTATTGATTAGTTTAAGAGCGCAGGGTACGTGAGACTGCATGTTCGGAAAGTCCAAATGATCTGAAATATCAAAGTACTTCAGGCTGAAACATTTGTCTTAGAAAGTTTAGGTAAAACAGAAGGATGCATGTGATTTAATAGTTAGGTGGGCTTCTTTTCTTATCCCCAAACGAGATGTGTACAAATTGAAAAGTGCAAAGGTACACAATCGGACAGAAGTACAAACTGACCTGGAACCAAGTGGGACTTTTGTTAACTTCTTATTCATTTAAACAGCTGCATGTGAAATCAAAAGTTTTTTATTTTATTTTATTTTTTTTGTAAATGAGCGCATTTCAAACTGTTTTCTATTTAAAATCTAACTAAATGTTCTCAAAATCACGCGGGAGTTCTGAGCACCAGTCAGCAGCACCTGAGGATCATCGGCTTGATGAGCAAGAGGAGCATTAACGGCTGCAGAGGACATCCAGTCGGCGCTGGAGCGTTACCTGCCAAATGCTAGTTCTGTTCCAGCCTTTAACTCACGAGTTAAACCCTGATGTCCTCCTGTCTCCTGGATTCTCCTCCTCTGGACCTCAAGCTCTCCTGAGCTGCCTCCACACCTTCCTACCACTTGCCTGTCTCCTTGCTCGGATGGACGCCTTCTTCGCCTGGAACGATTTGTGTCAGCTCTCCCACCTCTTATCGTAAGAAACATCAGCAACAACATTATCACCCCTGCCGACAGACCTCTAATCGTCTCCTTGCTCTTCAGGGTTCCAGCTTCCTCCCTGGTTCATTGAACGATTTATCACCTTGTAAACAAACACTGTAAATACAGTTTCTGTTCTCCTCGGTCCTTGTATATTCGCAATCGTTACAAATAAAATGTGAAAAAGTTTTAAATATTTTTTTAATGTATTATTTAGAGTAAATTATTTTTTTCTACAAGAGTCGGCGCTTGTTTAAGTTTGCACGTTTTAAACCGTCAGCATTCATAAAACTTAACTAGTTCCTCTTCAGGCAAATGTTACTGATGCAGTATTTCCAGAACGCGTGCGTCTCCAAACCAGCATACCACCAAAAGCCATGACAGACTTCCATGTGGTTGAGTTATTGCCCGTCCTGGCTCCTCATTGATGGTACTTTTTATCCAGAGATAAAAAAAATTGGAACTGTTTTCCCCCATTTGCACTAATCTTTCTCAACAAACACAAATCTGTCCCTGATCTTGAGATAAGTTGAGCCTTTATTTGTCCCCCAAGGGACAATCCAGTACCTTGCATCTTCGGCTTAAAGTAAAATCGAGATTTCATCCTTTAAGTGAAATGTGTACAACCTCAATTGCAAAAAAAAGTTGCAACATCATATAAAATGTCAATAAAACAGATATAAACAGACAAGATGTGTCAAAAAGTTGATGCAGGGGCAACAAAAGACAAATAATTGGGATAAAGAGACAACATCTGGAAGAACTTTACACAACTGGGTTAACAGGTCAGCAGGAGGACTGGGTATAAAATAAAATTTTAGTGGTAAAGATGGGCAGAGTGTTTTTTGCCTAAACCACTGCATGTATAGAGGAACTGTTTTAGAATAATGTTTCTCAACAGAACGTTGAATATCCCGTCATCTGCAGTTCACATCATCAAGAAATTATATTACCTGTAGAAATCTCTGAACTCGGAGGACGAGGGTGAACGTCAAAATTGGACGGTTGTGATAAAACCAGGTCTGGTTCTGTTCTGGGCTCAGGAACACTTCCACAGATCATTGTCTGTAAACACTGTTCATCCACTAATGCTGCCTAAAGCTCTATCAGGCTAAGAAGAAACCAGATGTGAACACCATCCAGAACCACTGCCGTCTCCTCTGGACCAGAGCTGAGAAAAAGTCCAGAACTGTTCTGAGGTCAGACAAATTGACATTTTAAACACTTTTGAACACCACTAAAGAGAAGAGAGACCACCCAGACTTTAACTGGCACACGATTTAAAAGCCTGCCTCTCTGATGGTATTGGGGTGTATTAGCGCCTCTGGCATGGCCAGAGTACACATCTGGAAAGGTAGTATCATTGTTCAACAATATATACAGGTTTTAGAACCACATCTGCTCCTATCCAGCAAAAAAATATATCAACAAGGAGGAGCCAGGATGGTAGAACAGTTAAAATCCTCCATCAGACCAGAATGGGACAAGAGTTCCTCCCAACACCTGGACTCCTCAGCTCCTCTAAAATCTCCACGATGTTTGCAGACTGTGTTAAGAGAAGAGGGAAACATGAACCTGGAACAACTTTGAAGGAATGTTTAAAACATTTGATGTCCCAACATATTCAGAATTCATGTTGCAGCATTTTTACACGTTTGTGTGGATTAATTTCATGCACTATGTAAGAGTCACCTCGCTGTTGGACAGCTGATACCAGGGCTGTTTTCCGTAGGTGAAGATCTCCCAGAGAACCACACCAAAGCTCCAGATGTCGCTTTCTGTTGTGAACTTCCTGTACATGATGCTCTCTGGGGGCATCCAGCGGATCGGCAGCATGGTTCGCCCACCCACCTGAAGGTGAACAAATCTCTGTAAGTCTGCACTCAGCACTAAAGAATAAAAGAGTATACAACTTGTTGTACATTTAAAATACCTTTTCTGATGAAACCTTCTGAAAGAGTCTCTTACCCGATAGTAATCTGTGCTGTAGATGTCCCGGGACATACCGAAGTCTCCAATTTTCACCACCAGACCCTCCCCCACCAGGCAGTTGCGGGTCGCCAGGTCACGGTGGACGAAGTGCAGCGACGCCAGGTAAACCATTCCTGAGGCAATCTGAGCGGCGATGTGCAGCATCTGAGGAAGAGTCAGCTGACCCATCGGAGGCATCTTGGACTCCTCCAGGATCCGAGCATCTGGTCCGTGAGCCCTGCACAGAGGACAGCTGCTCCTTTCATAACTTACTTTTAAACATTCAACTTCTTTCACAACAGCTTTTATTAGAAAACAACAAACTGTGTTTAACTAATCTTTTTGCACAGTTTGGTTTAGTGGTTCCTACATTTGATGTCAAAGCCTCAGTCTGGACAACGCTGGTGGAGATCCTCACCCAGTCAGGAGATAATAAACTTGAACTGGAGCGTATGAGCCAGTTTGATTAGAGAGAATCATATTTTTAAATTTAGTCATTTATTTTAATAAACTCTGAACATCATCTGCTGCATTTTGTTTTAAACCTAAATTGTTAAACTAAAATGTCTGAAATGTTGGTTGGAAACGCGTCACTTGAATGTTTTTAATTTTAATACATGATGCAGATGTACAGAAAATAGGTGAAATAAAATGCTGCGCAGACTGCAAAACATAAATTAATGTTTCAGAGTGAAATGAAGCTCTGAAGAGAAATTCAAGTTCATATGTGCAATCTAGAGTTGTCTACAGTCAAAGGTTAAATGGGGAAAAATTGTATTTGGTTGTTTTTCATCAGTGAAGAAGAGACATGGTAAGGCACCATAAATAAATAAATAAATAAACAAACAAATAAATGAGTTGGTCAGGAAAGGATTTAGATGATTTCAGTAAAATTGTGTAATGTAAAACAACACAGTTATCCATCCATCCATCCATCCATCCATCCATCCATCCATCCATCCATCCATCCATCCATCCATCATCTTCCTCTTGTTCTGGACTCAGGTCTCGGGGGCAGCATCTTGAGCAGGGAGGTCCAGACATCTCTTTCCACAGCCTCCTCTTCCAACTCTTCTGGGAAAACTCCAGGGTGTTCCCAGACCAACTGAGAGACGTAGTCTCTCCAACGTGTCCTTGGTCTTCCCTGGGGTCTCCTCCCAGTCAGACATGCCCGAAGCACCTCCCTAGGGAGGCACCCAGGAAGCATCCTTACCAGATGCCTGAACCACCTCACCTGGCTCCTCTGGATGTGGAGGAGCAGCAGTTCTACTCTGAGTCTCTCCTGATAGCTGAACTTCTCACCCTATCTCTGACAGTCCATCTACCCTGCACAGGAAACGCATTTCAACCGCCTGTATCCGTGATCTCATTCTTTCAGTCACTACCCAGAGCTCGTGACCAGAGGTGAGGGGAGGAATGTAGAATGATGGATAAACAGAGAGCTTCACTTTTCATCTCAGCTCCCTCTTCACCACAACGGACCAGTACATAGTCCGCAATACCGCCGACGCTGCACCAATCTGTGTCTATCTCACGCTCCATTCCTCTCTCATTCGTGAACAAAACCCCGAGATACTTGAACTCCTCCACTTGAGGCAGAACCTCTTCTTCAACTCAAAGAGAACAATCCACCCTTTTCTGACTGAGGACCATGGCTTCAGATTTGGGGGTGCTGATTCTCATCCCAGCTGCTTCACACGCTGCTCCAGTGGTAGCTGAAGTTCATGACATGATGACGCCAACAGGACCACATCATCTGCAAAGAGCAGAGCTGGAATCCTGAGGCCATCCAACTGGACTCCCTCCTCCCCCTGGCTGCACCGAGAAATTCTGTCCATAAAAGTTATGCAGAATCGTGACAACGGGCAGCCCTGCTCCCATCCTGAAGGGGTCTGACTTACTACCGGCAATGAGAACCAAACTCTCCCACCGCTGGTATAGGGATTGAACAGCTCATACCAACGGGCCCCCAATAACACACTCACAGAGCACCTCACAATGTACCTCAAGGAACACGGTTGTACACCTTCTCCAAGTCCACAAAACGCATGTAGACTGGATGAGCAAACTCCCATGACCCCTCGAGGACCTTAGTGAGGGTAAAGAGCTGGTCCAGTGTTCCACGTCGAGGACGGAACCTGCATTGTTCCTCCTGGATCGGAGGTTCAACCAATGATCGGACTCTCTTCTCCAGTACCCCTGAATAGACCTTACCAGGGAGGCTAAGGAGTGATGCCTCTGTAACTGGAGCACACACTCCAGTCCCCCTTTTTGAAGAGGGGAACCACCACCTCAGTCTGCCAGTCCAGTGGCATTGCCCCCGATGTCCAGGTAATGTTGCAAAAGTGTGTCAAGACAGCTCCATAACATCCAGAGCCTTAAGGAAATCGGGGCAAATCTCATCCACTCCCAGAGCCCTGCTGCCTCGGAGCGTTTTAACTTCCTCAACGACCTCAGCCACAGTTATGGACAGACCAACCCCAAAGTCCCCCAACTCTGCTTCCTCCATAGAAGATGTGCCGGTGGAATTGAGAAGATCTGAGAAGTATTACTTTCACCTCCCGATGACATCACTGGTTGAGGTCCACAGCACCCCACCTTCACTGAACACTGTGTTAGTAAAGAGCTGATTTCTCCTCCTCAGCCTCCTGATGGTTTGCCAGAATCTCCTCGGAGACGACTGAGAGTCTTTACCCAAGACCTCACCGAACTTCTGCAGCCGCAGACCGTTTGGACCTCCGGTACTCCTCAGCTGCACCCGGAGTCCCACCAGCCAACATGGACCAATACGACTCCTCCTTCAGTCTGACAGTGTCCCTAACCCGAGGTAAAATGTCTGTTGGGACATGAAGTATAAAATGTGAGCTTGACGTTTGCTCCTGTGTGTTTGGTTTGGGTTTTTTAACACATTTAGAAAAAACACGTTAATTATTAATTATATTTCACAATTTTAATAAAATACCTTTAATTTCTAGATTTTACTGAAGTGTTTACTTTTTGTTTATTTGTTTTCTGTTGAGGCTTAAGATGTCTTTAGATAAGTTATAAAAGAATTGTGACAATTATACGTTTAGTGGCTTGTGAAAATGTCATTTTACAATTTAAATATATTCCATGAACTTGGTGGTGGACACCTTGAAACAGACCAGCCTGCACCGTGCACGTTGGTCTGCTGCGGAGCACGGAGCAACTCAAGCAGAACTTCCTCTAAATCCTCATTTTATGCATTTGTAAGATTCCAAAATATCTCAAAACTTTTCTGAGGTTCTCTCAAGTTGCTTGTGTGAGTCAACAAGCTTCACTCAGCGTTGCTGCAATTTTGAACAACGTTGGGACTTTTGAATTTTATTTTTCCCCAACATGATGACGTCATCACAAGTGCCTAAAATCTCTCTCAGTTTATGATCCCAGGTCCCGACTGTTTTTGAGATGATGCTTTTGTTGTTTACTACGTTGCATAGTCAAAAGGTATGGGTTTAAAAGATTCACAAATCAGTGCATTCAGTTTTTAATTCAAGTTTTAGACGACGCCCAACGTTATTGGAATTGGGGTTGTGGTGTCCACGATTCAAGAGCACCAGAACTGTATTTCTTGGTAACATACTATATATACACCCTTCCTACAAATTATGGACAGAATTTCACCAGGAGTTTGCACAAATGTATCAGTGAGATTCCAGCTCTAAATGTGTGTTTTCCTCACAATTTCATCTCCAGCCAGAAGTCAAGTCAAGTGAAATGCAGCAAGTGCTGCACCTGCACTCGTCCTCCTGCTTCAAGTCAAAATATCTGCTGTTAAAAGGTGCAGGAAACTGAATCAGGATCTAGAGAAGGAGTCAAGTAACTAAAGAGACTTGTTCTTGTGCAACACGGAGGCAAAAAGCTTCAAAATGTGTTTTTCAGTCGTTTAATTTTTTCTTTTGTTGGAAACCTGCAGAGGCAGTTGAAGAAAGCCGAGACTGTGTTGACCTGCTCGCTTGGCACCTTGGTAACAATCTAAGCGATTTATCCGAGCAGACGCAGTTGATGCTGACTGCCAGGTGTCCTCCACGTGAGACAGATTAGAAAACACACACACATACATGCATGCTCGTGGGCTTTTCCTGAAATATACGTTGCTGGAAATCACATTTCCAGAAGACAGAACGAGTGAAATGTCAGAAAGCCCCCACAATGCAGCTGCTTTCCCACCCTGCCACCTGCCTCTTAAACTAATCCTGATTGTATAAACAACTTCCTTTGTAAAGTGGAGAGAAGAGACATTAGGATGGACGCCACATGGAGACACATCAGCTGTGATTGGCTCATTTAGGCAGTTGGATGTTGGAGTGGGTGTTCATGATCCACACAAACAACAAGGAGTTAATGTGCTCTGCATCTCTGAATTACATTATTGCAAATCAATTGTAGGCATATTACACGCCTGTGTTTTCTATTAACGTTAGTTTGAAATGGTTTTATTGTGGCGTGCTGACCACGGCTGTCAGGCTCAGAAGCGTTCAATCTGCAGATTGCTTGCTGAGGTTGTTGTCCTTCAGATGACCCAAGGTCGGTGCCGTAATACACTGAAGGCCAATCTGAGTGTGTTAATAACCCCCAACAATATGTTCAGCTAAAATAATCAGTTTCTAAAGGCCACACGGTTTAAACTTAAAAATTCAAACACAAAATGGAAATTATTTAAATCCATTTTTGTAGACAAGTATTTGTGTTGATGAGCAGACACTTTTTTATTTTTGTGAAACCCGTCTTTCCATGATAGGTTTATTCAAAGCTTCCTGCTGCTGTCATTTGAAAAGTCCATTAAGAACTGGAAAACAAACTATTTTTTGGATAAATGAAATTGCAGCTACAGCCAAAATTACAGCAAGTCAACAGAAATGAAGCTTTGGTTGAGCCAGATTATTTTTAAACCATCTTGTTGGTCTGTTGGCAACAAATTATGAATGAAGACCACAAGGGAGTCTTTAAAAGGCTTCAATGTTTGAAGAGGTCCTCACTGTCCTTGTGAGTTGCAGAGGCTGACAGTCGTATCGCTTCCAAAAGCCTACACAACAAACTATTTATCAAAACAGTCAAAGTTATTTCAGGCATCTCAAACCCCGCTCAATTTAATCTCTGTAAAATTCAGATTACTTGAGCCATGTTTTGACACCTGTACAGGAGCTCTCTTTAAGAGCACTGAAAGGCCACAGCCCTGGACGGGAGCAACTACTAAATCTGAGCACCAAGAGTAGAAGTTTGCACGCTGCACGCACAAAAATAGGCCGTAATGTTCAAAGAGTTGTCTGTGCAAAACGGATCGCTTCATTGCAAACGCTCCAAATTCACCGAGACCGCAGCAGAAAATTTTTTAAATTATGTGTTTGCAAGTTTTGATCGCCAGCTAACGTCCAGCAGTCGCAGCTCAGTGAGATGCAGCGTTTGATCATTAAAGTCGTTTCTGTTTGGTTTCTAATGCAGGAAGTAAGTGGGTCCTCAGCAGCGTGCAGCCTCCATGCAGCGCCGGCCATTAGCTGCAGGAAAGTCTCAATGCACAAATCACATACATTAGCACTTTGACGTGAAGGTTTGGAAATGTTAATGGAGCTCACGTTTGATACACTGATAGGTTGACAAAGGAAATAATGGAGTGTATAAAGCTACAAGTTTTCAACTTTAACTTTTCAAAGGGCAACAAAAGCACAGAAAATACATTTTATATGTGAAGCATTTGACAATTATTTACGAGTTCTGTCAATAACGTCTGAATGTGTTTGTGTGTTGATTTTTCTGGCAGGCTATGAACAACAGGCTTTTAGGGCTGCTGTAATTAGACTTCATTCAAGAAAACTACTCAACATCCACCAGCACACTTAGGCAAGAATTATATATATATATATATATATATATATATATATAAATAAACCCTGATTCAAATAAAATGTGAAAATGTTTGCAAAGAAAAGGACAAAATGTGAAGTTTCAGTCAGTTTAGAGCACAGAAACTGCACTAAAATGAGATTAAATAAATAATTAAGCTGATTTGAGTTGGAGAGCAGATTGTTTTAATAAGATGTGACAACATCAGCACATTTTATTTTATGAAATAAACTTTTCCTGGAGGGAAAATACAGTTTATTTCTTACTGAAGTTTTTCAAGTTAATACACAATATTATTATTATTATTATTATTATTATTATTATTATTATTATTATTA